GACAGGAAATAAACCCAGAAAACCGTGTGTGTGTATGTGTGTGTGTGTGTGTGTGTGTGTGTGTGTGTGTGTGTGTGTGTGTGTGTGTGTGTGTGTGTGTGAAAGAAAAAAGGACAATAACTTATTGCTATTGTATTTTATTTTGAAAACACTATTTTAAAAAAATCAAGAGTAATTTTAAAATTGATTTAACTTTAGGTTGATTCATTTTTTGTTTGTTTGTTTTGTTTGTTTTTTGTTTTTTAGTTCTGAACAGGCCCAGCGAAAAATAAAGGCCCACTTTCAGCACTTCCGTTTAGCACAAGTGGCACTATTCCCTATGACAACCATCCAGATCATGCGCAGTGATAGCTGAGAAAATCCAAAATAATGACACATATAAATACTAACACAACAGCAAGAGAGTCTCAGCTTGTCGGTCCTAGTTTACGTCACTATTTTACACTATTACGACATTTAAGACTGGGCATGTGTTTGCTTAACGTGAGGATCATACATCGCTGACCATGTGAGCAGGGTGCTTTGAGGGATACGGTCAAACACCGTGTGCTGATGAATGAAATGAAGACGTTTCGCATCCCTCCTCCTGAGTTGAGGGATTTCAGCACCTTGGACAGCAGCCTACACGCCATTTTCCCGGTGATCCATCGGGGGGCGCAGCAATCACGGTGTTACATGTGGAGGAGAGCGAGGATGTTTGTGTAGCATCAAAAAATGCTCTCGCTTCGATACTACTCCACTACTACTACTACAATTTTCACGCAGACTCAAAGGATAATTGATAATCGCTCTCGCGTCACTCTCTGCGCGGATTTCCTGTGAGATTCCTGCTGCGCTTTACGTCCAAACTTTACGGCTCAATCAAGGGAAGCGCGAGGACAGAGAGAGACGCGGGGGGTTGGTGGGGAGGGAGACGCTATAGCTATGAGTGACGCTTGCTGTGCTCAACCTCTGGACAATATGGCAACGTACAGGCAGCAGTCGACTCGTTAAACGTTAACGTAAAGTAAATGTAAAAATAAACGAACAAATAAAGCAGGAATACACCTCACGCTTCAACGGGGCAGCCCGCCCATTAACGGGTACTACCGGCCCCACACGCCCCCTCCAGCTTCCGCGGCTCTCGTCTAAATTGCACCGTGGCTCTGAGTGAGAGGCGGCGGACCGACGAGCTCTGGTGCTGTCTGCCTGGTGTGAGGGCTTCGGACTGATGTCTCTGCCTGTCAGGAATTTAAAGTGTCTTTCTCCGGTCATGTGCCAGTGTAAGGTCATCTGCAGCAACCGGACCCTGTCTCTTATGTTCGGGTGTAAGGTAAGGCTGCTGCAGCAGCAGCGACTCTTATCTGGATGCACTTTGTTCAGACACAAAACCGAGCAAAAGGCCTCTGGGAGAAATTAGCTTGCTTTCCTTTTTTTTAAATTATTTTTTTAATTTTTTTCAGAGGGGGAGGGTTAAAGCCATCTGAACCGCGCTTTTTTTTCCCTTCCAAGTGCAAATCCACGATAGTAATTAGTGCAGTGAAGTGACTTGGCCATATGTCTTGAGCCAGCAAGCTTATTCACATCTTAATACCTTTGCACCGCCGAGTGGTCGGGGTTTTCGTGCTCAGATGGTCGATTTCAATTTACACATAGCATGCTACGGCATCGCTGGCAAGCACTGTTGTGTTTAGTGTTAGCTGCTGTTCAGCGTAAATTCACAGTCTGATGCTGCTTAATGAATGGAGCATCGCTCCCTCCTGTATTTCTCCTCCGTCTCCATTGGGCAGGTCACGGTAGGGCTTGACCACAGGTTCACTTTGTATTCCAGCAAGGGAAGATGCATGTTGTGCTTTTGACCTTGGAAAAACCACTTTATTGCTCAGGGCCACTTAAGTAGCCTTCATCTTTAGAGGAAGCTGCAACAGAACAGAGCCTGCTTGGAGTAGGGTAACATGAACGGAGAGTAGTCTGTTCTTAAATCAGACCCAGAGGGTAATGTTTGCTGTTTATCAGGAAAAATCAGGCAGTTTTTATTTTCTTGGATGTTTTTTTTTTGGTGTTTGTCTGTTTTCCATCATGATGAGAACGTGTAATCCAAAGAGAGGACATTGGGCATTCATTCACTGATTCTCTGATTTTCCAGATTTTCCTCCCTCCATCCCTCCCAACTTCAGGTGTTTCTAGTATTGCAGCCAGCTCAGAGTTTCCCTCCACATGGCACACTAATCTGTTAGCTTTACAAAGCCAAATCCGACTACACCGCTCTGCTCTGGCCAGTAATTGTCGCTACACATGCCAAAATGATGTGTACATGTGTACAGAGCTCCAGTTAATTGTTTGTAAATTCACTGCTGACGTTTTGGTTCGTGTTTTGTCTTGTCACTAGAATCCAGTTCACTTCCTAGTTTGTGGTTAGAAGATAAGACAGCTCGACATCTTCGTCGTATCCTACTACCTGCAACTATTTGAACATTTTGTCTGCTGCAAAGCTGGTGAGGTTTTACGTGGGTGTTTCCTCTTCGTGTCTCTGAAAGGGTGGTCCTGCTGTGCTCAGTATTGAGTTTACTAGCAGAGATAATCCCATTTGTCCCCATGCATCACTCCCTCCTGGCTCATATCCTCCTCTGCATCTCCATCAGGAAAACCACACCTTCCTGGTGGAAAACACATCAACATTCTTCTTCCAGTGATTCAAGCTGCGTCTTCTGTAGTCATGCCCATCCAAGTGAAATGCAGTTCCACAACACAACATTTACTCTGTCGTAAAGAGCAGGTTTCAGGTGGGATTAATGACTCAGTTAAAGCCACTTGTACAGTAATTCTGTTTTAATAGATCTGGCTTCTAAGCATGGGATTCTTTTCATTTCAAGTGTAATTTATAAGCAATTATTTTAGTTGAGATTGTTTGGGAACTTTCTGGTAAGGCTGTCTCTATGATGCCACTGGTAACTGTGTTGGAGCTGGCTTGTTTTGGGGGAAAACACAGGAATCATCAGTGCATTCAGGACTAGCCTCAGCATTGTTCTTTCATGTGCAAACAGTGTATAGATGCAGGTTCAATAGCCCTCCAGCAGCTTGTGTCCAGTCGGTTGCAGTCTCGTGGGGAGTTGTTATAGGTAGGGCTTAATTTGGATCTCTGGGATATACAGTGTATTGGATCAATTTTTTTTTTTTTACCTCATATCATGTATTTGCACCCTTTGCTCTCAATAAACCTCTATGTTACACTAGCTACCACATGACCGGTCGTTTTCCAAGGGCTTTCAAGGTGATGTATTTGCATAACCTTTGTTCTTAAACAATGCCCGGCACAAATCCACTCAGTCATTTTGAATACAGTGTCTTAATTAAAAAGGTCTTTATATGGCTGTAGGCACTCAGCAGTGCTTTAATGGGCTCTCTTATGCTTAATGGCCATTGATGGCCTAGCAACATTCAGTCAAGACGGCCTGCCTCACTTTGTCTTTAAGCCACAATCTGGAGCGGTACTTCTACTAAAGCCCGTGCAATGTAAACAGGCCAAAGAATAGAGTTTTAAAATCGAGCGTTAGTGCAATGAATGATTTATGACACAGGTATCAGCGCGCCTTCATCTCAGTGTCAAGGTCTGTAATCAGCTCACCCCGATAATCAATTTCCACTGTGTCTGTATTGGAAAATAAACAAAAAGAAAAGTCATTCATTACCAGCCCCCAAAATTTTAAATGCACAGAAGTAATTCTATAGAAAGGAGATAGCAGAGAGGATATATTTGGGGCACTGATATCACATTCACCATGCTTAATGTCCCTGTTTTTATAGTCTTGCAAATACACTTCTTCCTATGGATTTGACCTATTTTACTCTGCTGTTTGTGTCGCCTTCTTTGTTACAGAGAAATGAGCCCGAGCTCAGCAATAAGCTTGAGGATTCCCATCACTGTAGTGGAGTGTACAAAAGTTCTTCTCAGGTCTAAGATTGAACCATTTCCTTTATGTGCTTATGTGAGCCAAAACACCACACTGTGTTATGAGAGAGGCACATTTATGGTATGAAAACTAAACCTATTCTGAAACTGACCTTACTGAGTCCACCTATCAAGGTCATGCAAAAAATAAAAAATAATATAAAATACATAAAAGTCTAAGAACAATCTAAAAGAGGAAGCTGTTGTTCATAAACATAAACTGCATCCCATTAATGGGATTGTGGTAGACAATACAGTTTTTAATTTAAACAGCTCTAATATTCAAGCTTACCAACATGGCACTTTACAAATGCAACAGTCACCAGAGTTAGAGATGCAAAAATGATGGCGGAGCCTTTGATTAACCAGTAGAGGCCCTTGTTACAGTTAATGGTACTGATTTTACTTTTAAGCTAACTTTATTGATTGGCAAACACAAAAAGGACCAGAACATTACAAATTAAAAACTCACCTCGCTGAGCATCTGGCACATGGATATGCATCATCAAACATTAAAATTAAATCCATTTTTAGCCTCGCTGTAATGCAAAAAGATTCAGAGTTGCTTTACCCTCCAGGAAGTAAACATTCACAGAAGGCACAAGCACGTAAATAAGCTCAGCATTTGTCTCCGAAAGCCAAAATGAATCACTACCAACTACTAAACATGAAATACATTTATTTTTGATGCTCAGCCATTTAAAAAGCCTCTTTACTTTCGAATTGTGGTATAACAAGGTAACGCTTTTTATTCTATGCAAGCCATTAAGAAATCAATGCATTTCATCGAGGCGCTTCATTTGCAATATTTATTGTTGGTACTTTTAAATCTACCATCGCTGCATTTTCATTTCTAAAGAAGTACTGTGGTAAAATGGCTTCTCCATGCATGATCGTGTTTGTGGACAAGTCAGAGAGTGAGGGTTAATGTTGCAACCCCCATTACAAGTGCACCATACGTGAAATCGCATGTGGTCAGCAAAAAACCCCCAAAAAACCCCCAAAAAACATGGTGTGTGCATGCTTCTGTGGACCAAGTGAAAGGAGATGAAACGATCATCACTGCTGAGCTGTGTCTGACCTGCAGACTTGCAAAAACGATAAAGCAGTTTATTTATTTATTTATTGCTAATTAGGGGTAGCATGGCATGACGTACTCCTCTCAGTGCAGCGAATATCCAACACACCCTTTTATCCACGGGGTTGCACTTAAGCTGTCAAGGCTCTGCTCGTTGCATTGCCTGCACACACTGACCACCAGAAATCTAGTCAGCTGTAGGCTCTGACTCTAGCTTCCTCACGTGTCACGAAGCCAAAAGGAGGGAGCATGTTTGCTCTCCCTTCCCTCCCTGTCTGATCTTGATGTTTCCCTGTGTGCATTAATGCCAAGCATTAATTCAGCAGTCTGCATTTACTTCCATTTACATAATGATAAATTTCACATGAGCTGGCCTACTACTGCAGACTCGTGCAAGTGTTTCTTGCCTCACAAATAAGTGTGAAGTTCCAGTGAAAGCAGGCTCTAGACAGACACGATGCCCCCCCCCCCCCTCCCCCATGCCCAACCCTTTGCAGAAGTGTCACAGCCGAGCACCCACTATGGCAACATATACTGTAACTCTGATCTGATTATTGCGTTTGAGGATGATGCATCTGTGTGGGTTTTATCAATGATGAATCATCCCACAGACAGGAAATTCAGAATGTTATTAGCATCAACGCGAACATAAATTAACAAGCAAAAAGACTGAGATTTGAGGAAAGTTAAAACCGCACTAAACGTGCGCCAACTAACTGCTAAGGTTGTTTTATGGCCTTTTATGTTTCATTGTGATATGGAAACTACTTTCAGCTGCTTGCTTACCACGAGGGTTCCCACAGCAGGAAGCGCCGCATGTTTGATTTAGCAGTTTTTAATGCCAGCTGCTGTTCCTGCAATGCAAAAGGAGATTTGAGTCATTAACCAGCAACCTTTTGCTCGCCAAGCAAACGGTTCCACTCTGATATAAAAAAGGCTGTTTTTTTACAGTGGTTAAAATGGGATTCGAAGCATGTACTGCTGAAAGTATTTGTTTGATTAAAATGTTGATTTTGAATAGGTCTTCAGGGCAGAACTTAAATCATCTCCCTGTGGGACGACGCGGATGCATTTCTGTTGCTGCTCGCTGTGTAACACCTTCGTATTTCAGCCCAGAAGATGTGTTTGCACTTGCTTTTCATTCAATTATGCTAATAAATCAATAAATCATGATAATAAATAATTTAATTATGCATTCTTAAATAAATATTCACTCTTTGCCCTTTGTCTTTCTGTCTTTTGAAATTTTTGTCGGCCCATTAGTTAGATTGGTACTTAATGCAAATTTTCAGCATTGCAAAGGCGA